CAAGTGCAACAAGGAAAAGTTACATCTTGCAACCACACGCTGTGTACTTAATAAAATTGTTAACTTTTATTTAAAGATTGCCTCAGCTCCGTCTATTCTGAGTCCAAAGTGCAATTTCTCACAATATTACAACTTACCTCACGTGGTGGCAGAAACGTAGGGAAAAGTAACCAAATAAATCTACATTCTTCTCTCCAGTCACGCTACAGTATATACAGTGTAATTATTACTAAGTTATTACTTTCTTAATAAAGGAGGAGGTGCAATTGAACAGCCTCCCTTCTAACTTGATGGTAAATTTGGTTCCTAATCGGCAACCTCCATTGCAAGTCGGCTAAGTCTTTTTAAAATTGGGAACTGGGGAAAAATCTCCTGAATACTGGTTCCTTTCAAATTGGTGGCAACAATAAATCATCCCCCAGCTCCCCTGCTTCTTTTCAAATTGGTGGCAGACGACGGGATACGATTAACAACTGATTGAGTGCCTTAAGACTACTTTGAGAATAATTTGTGAGGTAAAAGTTATTGAAATATGGCTACCAGATGACAGAAAAAACTTGTTGAGGAAACAATGGGAGACCAAGAAGGAAGTTTGGGCTCTGAAGCAGAAACAGAGCCAGTGTCTGTGTCAGAAATGGCACAGACTAGAGATGAAACGATTGGAAATAGAGGCAAAACAAAGGGAAAGAGAGTTTGAGGAAAGACAAAAAGAGAGAGAACAGGAGATAGAATTGAGGAGAATGGAAATTGAACTGCAAAAGCAAAAAATTAGCCCACCACCCCCCCTCACTTCCTCTGAGGATGCTTGCCATAGATGCAGGCGAAACGTCAGGAGAAATGCCTCTAGAACATGGCCCTATAGCTCGAAAAAACCTACAAGAACCTAGTATTTCCTAAATTTACTAAGGATGACGATATAGAGAAGTTTCTAACCTTGTTTGAGCGATGTTGTAAAGATTTTGGAGTTGCTGAGGAAAAATGGATGACGTACTTAAGGCCTCAAATAAGTGGAAAGCTCTTAGAAATATATGGAGAAATGCCTGAGGAGTCCTATGGGGATTATGATTTATTTAAGAGACAGGTTCAACAGAAATTTCAATTAACACCTGAATTTTACAGATTCAAGTTCAGGACTCTGAAAAGAGATAAGAACCAAAGTTTCGCTCAGGTGGCCTCTAGATTGTCTCAACTGTTCGATAGTTGGCTAAGGACGTCTGAGGTGGAAAATTACCAACAACTGAGAGAACTTTTAAAATTGGAACAATTTTTCCAATTGATACCTTCCGATTTTCGGTGGCTGGTACAGGATCGAAAGCCATCCACTGTAGTAGAGGCAGCGGTTATGGTAGATCAATTAATTACCCTAAAAGAAGGATTCAAAAGGGAAGATCTGCCAAATGATAAAAGGACAAACAGGCAGCCATTTTACCAACATCAAACGCGCCCACAACAAGGAAAAGGTCCTGCAATAGAAAACCCCTCCTGGAGGAGGCAGAGTGTAACAAGTCAAACTGCTCCTGAGGGAAAAATTAGGTGTTTTCAGTGTGGAAAGTGGGATCATATAAGGTATCAATGTCCCCTTTTAAGAAAAGAAAAGACAACCCTCTTCGTTAATAAAGTAAAAGAAACAAAGAAAACAGAACCAAATACTGTGTCAAAGGAGAGTTCGGAAACGGTGCCTCAAGAGAAACAATGTTTGTTCATTTTGTCAAACACCGCAACTGAGGATTACTTAGAATCCATTTCCATTGACAACAAAGACATGAGAGGGTGGCGGGACACAGGATCTGATGTGTGTATTATACATCCAGATATAATACCTCAGAAATTTCAGCATCCTACCTCTGAAATAAGATTAAAAGGCTTGGGACCTGCAATACCAACAGCAGTAGTGTCTTTGCCAATAGAATATGGAGGTTGGAAGGGTATGTGGGATTTTGCAGTCAGTCCAGACATACCATACAGGTGTTTAATTGGAAATGATCTGGCTAAAAAGATTGGAAAGTGGAGAATGATGTGTGAGGAGGAAGAATATAACAGCAAAAGCCCTGATCAAAAAGCCATGTGTTTCGCCATACAACAGGAGGGGGATGAGAATCCAGAATCCAGCACTATGGTTGCTGAGCTTATTAAGAAGACAGGAGGAGTCAGAGAAATTCAACAGGAACAAAGAGCAGATGAATTTCTAAAACCTTTGTTCGCTTTGGCTCAAAACCTCACAGTATCAGCAAAAGGGCAGCCCTCCAAGTTTGTGTTAAAGAATGGTGTCTTGTATAGAGAAACCAGAAACATGAAGTCAACAGAAGGATCAATGACATGTAATCAGATTGTAGTGCCTCAAAGTTTTAGAGAACAGCTGATGAGGGCGACACACGAGAACCCTCACGGTGGTCATCTGGGCGTGAGGAAAACCACAAAGAGGATCACTAAAAACTTTTATTGGCCTGGCATGTTCCAGAAGATCAAAGAGTTTTGCCAGTCTTGTGATATCTGCCAAAGATTGAGTACTGGAAGGGATAAAATTAAAGCTCCTATGATCCCTATGCCGGTAATTGCAGAACCATTTTACAGAGTGGGCATTGACATAGTTGGTCCTCTTTGTAAGCCAAGCAGACGTGGTTACAGATACATTCTAACCATGATTGACTACGCCACAAGATATCCAGAGGCTGTAGCTCTAACTAACATTGAGACAACAACGATTGCAAATGCACTGTTATCCATTTGGGGAAGAACTGGTTATCCTAGAGAATTGGTTTCTGATTTGGGAACTCAATTTACTTCCAGACTTATGTCAAAATTGCTTGAGTTATGTGGAATCAGACACCTGACTTCAACAGCTTATCACCCACAGACAAATGGACTAGTTGAAAATCTGAACAAGACTTTAGTCAAAATGATAAAGTCTTACAGTCAAAAGAAGCCATACGACTGGGACGTCAAAGTACAACAACTGTTATTCACCTACAGGACCGTCCCTCATGACAGTACTGGCTACAGTCCGCTTGAATTGCTATATGGAAGGAAAGCTCATGGTCCATTAGACCTGATAAAGGAATACTAGGAGGAAAATCCAGCAACAGATCCAGTTCCAGTGTCGGAGTACCTAA